GTGCTAATGACAGTACAGTTGCAGAAAGGAGACTGCATGACCCTTCTGTGCTTTCATTCTAACTATAAGCACTGGTGGCCTCAGAGCAAAGCAAATGACAATACAGTTCAAAAAGAAAACAAGAACTGACTGAGAAACACAAAGATAATTCTACAAAAGAGCTGTACCCATCAGACATTTGTAAATAGGCAAATAACAGCAGAAACTGCAATGATACTCTGAAACCCTGCCCTGCCATTTCTGCTTTGGTTTTCAGGACCAGGGGCTGACCCAGAGCATGCTAGGCAAGCAATGTACTACTGCTATATTTCTACCTATGTCTGCATTTTAAGAAAGATCTCATATTGCTATTAAAAGAGATCACAGTTTACACAAAATTTAAAACTAAGAAATGTTAAATTTTGCAAATCTGTATTTCCTAAGAGTATGTGGTCTACCCTTTCTCCTTGGAAACTGACCTAAAGAGAGTATTGTAGATTGAACTAGGAGAGGATGGGAAGAATCAACTGGCCAGTTCCTTTAACCAGAATAGTGACACTCAGTTATCAACAAATATGATACCAAGTGACTATATTAAGGAGCAGAGAGCTGATCAGATCCTACCCAGTAAAGCTTCCAGGTGAAGCATCACAGAAGGAATCAAGGAGAATCTTCAAGGCAGAGCAGAACTTAGGCATGTAGCTAGACAGACATGAGGCTATTGGATGGGATTTCATTTTCAAACTCAAGACCCAATGTTCATCCTTCGAAACGGTGGTTAGCAGAGGCTCCATGGTGGTAGGTTATTGAGCAGGTGCCTTGAGGCCTGAGGAAGCCCTGTAGTCTCTCCTGGCCTGCAGTATAGTAGTTGCCCTTCAAGAGCCAGTTGCAGCAAGCTCTTGTGAAGGCTACAAGGCTGCTGACCTTGGAGCCAGCCTTCAGAAGCAGCTACAAGAATCAACTGCAAATTTAAGTTACTGAAAATGACACTAAGGAGCCATGAGAGAGTCTCCCTGAGACTGTGCCCCTAATTTTAAGCCTAGTTATGATTACTCCCAATAAGGCTTCAAAACCAATCTATTACCATTGCCTTGCCAGCAGGAAAGTGGTGCAACTGGGCAAAAGTGGAAAAGGAAAAGGAAGCAAGCTTTTGGCAATACATACATCATGCATGTATACATACATACATACTTACACACACACACACACACACACACACACGCACACGATACTGAAGGCCTCTTCCTGAAAGACCCAATGTGTGCTCAGAAGGATCCAGGACAAAGTATCCCCCAAAACTGGGCACTGGACATGGTCCTCACTAAGAATCTTGGTTAGAAATAAAACAGGGAAGACTTGGAACTGAGGTGGGTGGCTCTATGCTGGTTTGAGGACAGCCTGGGCTACACAGAGAGTTCTAGGCCAGCTTTGGCTAGAGATACTACCTAGAGACTAGAAAAATAAAAATAAAGTATTAAAGAAACTCAGAAAGCTAGGAAAAACATGATAAAGAACAAGAGACAATGAGGACAGTTAACTATGGAAAAAATGACTGCATGATAAGCAGGAGCTTAGACAGTGACAGCAAACAGGAAGGACTCCCAGTAGTGCTGAGGAGCCTCCGAGTGAAGCAGGTTAGTGGCTGCTTCTGTGAGAGACTGTGAAGGCATGTGTCTGAGTAAGAAACCAGATCTTCTTCCAAAGACTGAAATAAAGGAAAAGCAGAAAAAAACAAAAACAAAAAAAAAAAAAAAACACTCCACACGGAGAAGCAAGCCAAACACAGCCAAGGAGTTCTCTGGTGGGGAGAGGACTCAAGTCAAATGAAAGCACTGGAGTAGTAGCTTGAGAGTTACTTCCTGACTCATTGGCAGAGATAGAGAGAAACTGGGCCTGCCATGGGCTTTTGAAACCTTGAAGTCTACCCCCACTTCCTCCAAAAGGCCACTTCTACTCCAATAAGGCCACACCTCCTAATTCTTCTCAAATGTTGCCACTGCCAGATGACTAAGCATTCAAATATGAGGCCATTCTTATTTGAACCACCACAGTTGGCATAGGCAGAGATTTTCTAACCAGAATTCCAACAGCACAGGAAATAGCCCTAAAAACTGACCACAAAGAGTAAAGAATTAAAATAAAAGAGTGCATGAAGATAAGAAACTTCTCTACAACAAAGGAAATAATCACTAAAGTAAAGAGACAGAACAGGAGAAATTGTTTTACCAATAGCCCATCAGGCGAGAGCATTAGTACTCAAAATATATAAAGAATTACAAAAATTAAATATCAGAAACACCGCAAACCAAACAATCAATAAACAACTAATGACCTGAATGGACATTCTGAAGAAAAGAAACTTAAATGGCAAACGAATACTTGAAGAGGTACTCAGCATCCTCAGCCATCAGGGCGATTCAAGTCAAGACTCTCTGAGACTCCTTCTCATCCCAGTCAGACTGTCGGCCATCAAGAGGACAAGTGCCAACAGACACCCGTGAGGATGTGGGGAAAGCCCTAGTTTACTGCATGTAGAAGTGTGAGCTTGCAGAACCACTCCAGCCCCACAGAGTGATTTTTAATTGTAGTAAAATGCATATCACAAAAATGTATCCTCTTAACCATTTTAAGCATATCTTTCAGAGATGCTAATTACATTTACAATATTGGACAATTATCAGCACTATCCAGGTCCAGAACTCATCTTACCAAGCTAAAATTTTGTCCTGCTAAGAAGTTCCACATCAACCTGCCACAGAGAGCCTCTGAAAGGCTCTGCCCTGCAGACTGTCAAAGCAGACGCTGAGACTTATGGCCAACTGTTGGGCAGAGTGCATGGAATCTTATGTAAGAAGTGGGAAATAGTAAGAGCTGGAGAGGACAGGAACCCCACAGGAGAGCAACAGAACAAGATAATTTGAACACAGGGAACTTCCCAGAGACTCATACTCCAACCAAGGACTATTCATGGAGATAACCTAGAACCCCTGCACAGATGTAGCCCATGGCAGTTCAGTTTCCAAGTGGGTTACATAGTAATGGGAAGAGGGACTGCCTCTGACATAAACTGATTGGCTGCTCTTTGATCACCTCCCCCTGAGTGGGGAGCAGTCTTACCAGGCCACAGAAGATGACAATGCAGCCACTCCTGATGTGATCTGATAGACTAAGATCAGAAGGAAGGAGAGGAGAACCTCCCCTATCAATGGACGTGGGGAGGGGCATGTGTGAAGAAGGGGGAAGGAGGGTGGGATCAGGAGGGGAGGAGGGAGGGGCTTATGGGGGGATACAAAGTGAATAAAGTGTAATTAATAAAAAAATTCTTAAAAATTAAAAAAAAAGAAGTTCCACATCATACCATCCCCCAGCCTAGAAAGCACCATCATGCTTTCTGTCTCTGAATGTGCTCCCCAGGGCAAGTGGAATCATACAGGCCCTATCATCTTGTGACTGGCTTGTTCCACTTGGGCAATGTCCTCCAGGCTTGCCTATATTACCACAGGCATCAGAACTCCCTTCCTTTTAGAGGTTGTATGCATATGCCACATTTTACTTATACGTGTCTACATTTGCATCTTTTGCCTGCAGTGAATGATGCTGTTATGAATACTAATATGCAAATATTCTTCAGTATGCTGTATCTGGGGCTAGATACAGCACACTGAAACCACTTGCTTTCACAGACCTGAGTTCAGTTTCCAGCCCCCAGACAGTGGCTCAAAGCCATCTATAACTCCAGCAGCAGAGGATCTAATGTGTGTCTAGTGGCAACACATAGAAGCAGGCAAACATTCAAACACATACAGTAGATAACTCTTTTCAAAAATGCACCCGGTCAGCCAGGCGCACACCTGTAATCCCAGCACTCGGGGAGGCAGATGCAGGCAGATCTCTGTGAGTTTGAGGCCAGCCTGGTCTACAAAGAGAGTCCAGGACAGCCAAGGCTACAGAGAGAAACCCTGTCTTAAAAAAGCAAAAGCTAAGGGGGAGGGAAGGTGGACCTGGGAGGAGATGAGGGAGGGGGCTACAATCAGGATATAAAATAAATAAATAAAGGGAGGGGGACAAAACAAAACAAAAAAGCATCATGTCTTAGTCCATTTGTGCTGTCCTAACAAAACACCTTCTCTTGGGTGATTTGTTATGGACTATTTTACATTTACAGGTCTCAAGGCTGAGAAGCCCAAGCCCTTCTTGCTACATCTTCACATGTAGTAGAAGACAGAGAGCAGAGAGGAGGCTCACAAGCTTCCCTGCCCTCTTATAAGATCACTAACCTTGTTCATGAGAGCTCCAGCCTCATGGTTTAGTGACTTTCTAACACTGTCACATTCAGGGGATGATACAGGGTTTCAGAGTGGTGTTTATCAACCGTAACAACAAGGAAATCAACATTTCCTGAGCCACCCAGACACAGTCACTCAGAGGATGCTACTTTTAGCATCCTCACTGGAAGGATGTATGAAGTGAAAATTATGAATTTAGGGTGTGAGCATTGACATATAAAATGGACTCTCTTTACAGATATGCTAAGGTTTATCAAAAATGAGTCTCCTTTATGTCAACTCACGGGTTCTCTCTTTTTCCCCCTCCTGCCACATCGTATCTGCCACCCCACTGCCTTCTCTCCCACCCCCCACCTCCGCAATTCCAGGTTGTCTAACGTTAAAACAAGTATTATATGAATTCAAATGTTGTGCTTATAGAAACAAAGTATTTCCTAAGGTATAGATAAATGAAAGATACTTTCCAAATTATAAAATATTTGGAATACTTTAAATATATGAAATTACCCACATCCTTATGCTACAAACTCTTTCTATTTTTATTATCATTTGAAGCTAAGCTTATTATATTTTAAAGGCTGCACTTGTCCAAAATGGGCCAGGAAAGATATTAACGCTAAAAATGTTTTAACAAAATTTCTGGAACGTTTTCTCACAAAATGGAGGGAAAGTATATTTGTAGAAATGCAACATTTACCTGCTCCATGTCCATTACATAAACTGTCTCCCACTCACCTCCCCTTCATGAGGAATGAGCCAAATTCTGCATGTTCAGGAAGGTGGAGGCTCCTCCCAGCAGCCTGGCCAGGGTAGGGGATCCAGGGGTCTGCTTGGCCGATCTTGTGGTTTCTGGTAGTGGGTTTGATTGTCAGCGGCTGTCCTGGGTTTGAGCAAGTTGGGCCCGACAAAGCAGATGTCTGGTGTAGCTCTACCTCCAGCATGGCTGAGGCCAGCCTGATGTCTTTGTTCTCTAGGTGCATGCCCCGTGGTTGATCTTTCTGGGTCAAACAGAAAGAAGCCACTCACTGTGGCTGAAAAACAAACTCTGTACAACCAGAGCAGACTTAAAACACAGCCCTTCCAGTGGCCCAACATTCAAGCATGGCACAGACACAGTGTGTGTTTGTCTCCAAGAACTGATACCTCAGCAATTCCATATTAGCAATGATCTGTACATTCTATAACAAGACATAATAAATTTTTATGTGTTTAATTTTCAAATTTTAATTTTTTTCATACAACGTATTTTGATCATATTCTTTTCCCTTCCTCCAATTTCTCCCAGATTCTCTCCACCTCCAGACCCACCCAATTTCATGTTTCTTCTCAAAAAACAATACAAACAACAACAAAAAAGAAAATAAAAACAAACTAACACACATACACACACAGCCATGAAGTCCATTCTGTGTTGGCCAACTACTCCTGGCCATGGGACCTGTTCTAGAGTGTGGATGATATACCTAGTGTCACTCCATTGGAGAAAACTGACTTTATTTCCAGCAGCTGTCAGTTATAAACATCTTCTTGGTTAAGGGTAGGACTTTGTGTCTACTTACCTTTCTCAGTGCTGGAATTTAGAATACAGTAAATTTCGAGATGTGCATAGTATGAAATACTGTGATTCCATAAAAGTTATGGAGAGGGATGTTCAGTGATATTAGTAAATATTAATACTAAATATAAAAGACAACCTTTGCTAGATTATTTGCACAGAGCATCAAAGCAAACAGGCATATCCTTCAAAGCATTGCTACCTCTCACTAGGGATGGTAGTAATATGGTGTTCACAGCTTTTGCTCAGAATTGCACTGAGAAAGTAACAATTGTTATAAAGATGAGGACATGGACTGTAGCTACCATTGAAGTTGTATTCCAAGCCATTCACTACGTTTATTTTTCACATTTTATAGCACCCAGTAACTCAAGAAATGATCTTGGCCTTTGCAGCAATCTGGTTTTCTGTCACCCTTTCTGTGAAAGCAATGCTTCCTGTGTACTTCGGTTGAGTCAGCGTTCTAAGGATCTCTGGGACAAAGGCTTCCCATGTAGTTAGCATAGCACGACTTCTGCTCACCAGAGTCATCCGCAGCATCAGCAATACACTTTGAGACAGGGTTCCTGTGGATCCAAGCTGAGCAGGGCTTCAGCAAGACTCAGAACAAGTGCAGGACAAGTATGGTATGTCTCCAACTAAGTAGTCTGCTGTTACACTTTAAATTTAGAATGTTCACAAAACACTCATGTGTTAAAGACTTGGTCTTCAACTCATGGCGCTACTGAAGCAAGGTAAAATCTTTTCCAGGGAAGGCATAGTGACAGGTCTTCAGGTCACTGGGGACACATGCCTTAGAAAAGGACTATGGGGACCCCAGCTCCTCCTTTCACTCTCTCTTCCCGACCATGAGATAAGGACATTTTTCTGCCACTTGCTTCTATTATTATGTATATGCTACCATCAGCCCAAAGCAATGGTGTCAGCCATTCATAGACCTACACTTGTGAAACTTGGAGGTAAAACAAACTTTTCTCTTTGAAATATGCTTACTTCAGATATTTACTATAGTCATGAGACCCTGACTAATACAACTAGACTATTGTCTAGTGGAGCAAGAATTTATGTCAAATATGAAATGATACTGGCATGGAAAGAAGCCTATACATTTTTGGACCCTGCTTTGGCTAGCCGTGTTTGATAAAAATGACTTGCAAATCACTATGACAGAGAGTGCTGGTAGAATATACTTGAACAAAAACATGAAATAATAGCAGTTGAGCTGAAGCCTACCAGAAGATAGGCCACCCATCCGCAGACCTCCCCCACTCTCTAAGTGCCCCACACACTATCCCAAATCCTCCTACCTCTCATTGTTACCATGCCCCAGCCCCTAACTCTGGCAAAGACTCCCACACCACCAGAATTCCAGGAAGGCCATCTACCCTCAGAGCTCTGAAACTCTCTCAATGCCCTCCCACCCTATCAATACTCCTTCTTCATTGACATATCCCAGCCCCCATCTCAGGAGGCACCCTGCTTGACCAGAGGCCACACCCACTACCAGAAGTTCAGGAAGGCTGCCCACAGTGAACCTCGTCAACTCTCTCAGTGCTTTCCCAGCCTATACACAATACCACCCCCCACCACTTCCTCATTTTTCAGCATTCAACTTAAGCAGAGACTCCCTATGTGACAAGAGGCCATGCCAGCAACCAGAAGTCCAGGTAGACTACCCACCTGCAGACCTCCTCTACTCTCTTGGTGCTACACCATCCTAACTTCATCTTTCCCTCCTCATCACCTTGCCCAAGCCCCCAACTCAAGCAGAGACTTTTAGCTCAACCAGAGTCTAGATAGGCAAGAAGATCACAGAGGAAACACAAACCAAGGAACAAAACACCCATGCAACTAACACAAACTCAGAAATCCACACCTAGACCTATAGTCATCTCAAACCCAGATGCTTAGATGCCAGTATAAGAACACAACCAACAATAGCCAAGGTAACATGTCACTATTAGAGCCCCGCTATCCTACTATATCAAGCCCTGAATATTCCAACATGGCTGGACCACAAGAAAAAACCTTAAAACCAACCTTATAAGGATGATGGAGGTCCTTAAAGAGAAAATGAATGAATCCCTTAGAGAAATACAGGAAAAGACAAACAAAAAATTGAAAGAGATTAATAAATTCCTTAAAGGAAGCCAAGAAAAAACAAACAGTTGAAAAAAATGAATAAAACTGTTCAAGACCTGAAAAGGAAAATAGAAGAAATTAAAACACACACACACACACACACAAATTAGCAGGCATGGTAGTACATGTCTGTAATCCCAGTACTCTGGGAGGCAGAGACAGGTGGATCTCTGTGAGTTCAAGGCCAGCCTGGTCTACAAAGCGAGTCCAGAACAGCCAAGGCTTTAACAGAGAAACCCTGTCTCAAAAAGGAGGAGGAGGAAGAAAAGGTGAAGGAGGAGAGTGAGAAGGTGAAGGAGAAGGGATGAAAGAGAAAGAAAGAAAGAAAGAAAGAAAGAAAGAAAGAAAGAAAGAAAGAAAGAAAGAAAGAAAGAGAGAGAAAGGAGGGAGGGAAGAAAGGAGGGAGGGAAGGAGGAAAGGAAGGAAGGAAGAAAGGTTACACAAATTGAGAGATGTGAAAACTCTAGGTAAGTGTATAGGAACTACAGAGGCAAGCTTCACCAACATAATATGAGAGATGGAAGAGAGACAGTCTTGGGCATTGAAGGTACAATAGAAGAAAAAGGTGCATCAATAAAAGAAATTGTTAAATCTAAAAATTTTCTGACAAGAAACATCTAGGAAATCTGGGACACTATGAAAAGACCACACCTAAGAATAATAAGAATAGGGGGAAAAATAATCTAGCTCAAAGGTCCAGAAAATATTTTCAACAAAATTTTAGAAGAAAATGTCCCTAACATAAAGAAAGAGATGTCTATAAGGTACAAGAAGCTTATAGAACACCAAGTAGACTGGACTGAAAAAGAGCTGCAAGAGGGAAAGGACAAGTAGCATATGCAGGCTCTTAGAAGTACACCTGACTTCTCAGAAGTGGAGACTCAAAAAAGCCACAAGGGCCAGGACAGATGTCCTGCACACTCCAAGAGACCAAGGATGCCAGCCCAGACAATTCTACCCAGCAAAACTTCCAATAACCATGGAGGGAAAAAAATAAGGTATTCTATGATAAAGAAAATGTAAACAACATTTATCTAAAACCCAGCCCTACAGAAGATACTAGAAAGAGAACTACAACTCAAGTAGGTAATATTTCCATGAAGACAGAAATAACAAATTTCACACCAAATAAAGCAAAAAAAAAAAAAAAAAAAAAGAAAAACCCATACAAAAAAAAAAAAAAAAAAAAAAAAAAAAAAGGAATCACCCATACACACACAATGATGACAACAACAGAATAACAGGAATTAGCAATCATTATTCAATATCAATGAACTCAATTCCCCAATAAAAAGACACAGACTAACAGAATGGCTTGGAAAACAGGATCTTTCTGCTGCATACAAAAAGCATACCTGAAAATAAAAAATAGACATTATCTTAGAGTAAGGGGTTTGAAAAAGATTTTCCAAGCAAATGGACCTGAGAAGCAAGATGGGGTACCCATTCTAATATCTAACAAAATAGACTTCAAACTACAATTAATCAAAAGACACAGGGAAAGACACTTCATACTCATCAAAGAAAAAATACACCAAGTTGATGTTTCAATTCTTAACACCTATGCCCCAAACACAAGGGCATTTGTAAAAGAAATATTACTAAAGCTTAAACTTCACATTGACCCTCACACAAAGCAAGTCTCAACACATACAAGAAAAATAAAATAACCCCCTTCATCCTTTCAGACCACCAAGAATTAAAGCCGGATTTCAACAACAAAAACAACAGAAAGCCTACAAACTCATAGAAACTGAAAAATTCTCTACTGAATGAAAAAATGTGTTAAGACAGAAATAAGGAAAAAATAAAGACTTTCTAGAATTCAATGAAAATGAACACACAACATAGCCAAATTTATGGAACACAGTGAAAACGGTGCCAAAAAGAAAGTTCATAGCACTAAGTGCCTACATTAAAAAAAAAAAAAAAAATGGAGAGATCTTATACAAGTAACTTAACATGTCTGAAAACTTTAGAATAAAAAGAAGTAAGCACGTTCAAGAAGAGTATATGGCAGGAAATAAACAGAAAGCTGAAATCAATACAATAGAAACAAAGAGAAAAATACAAAGAATAAATAAAATAAAGAGTTGGTTATTCGAGAAAATCAACAAGGTAGACAAATCCTTATCCAAACTAAAAGATGGAGAAAGAATATCCAAAATAACAAAATCAGAAACAAAAAGGAGGACCTAACAACAGACACAGACCCAGAGAGGCTAAGTAACAAGGACTCTAGAGGGATGCGTAGAACTCCCTGGAAAAGGGAAACAAATGTAG